GCGCCGCCACCCAGGGGAGAGGAGGAGGAGGAGGAGGGGGTTGAGGAGGAGGAGGATGCGGAGGAGGAGGGTGAGGAGGAGGGAAAGGAGGACGAAGAGGAGGAGGCGGAGCCGAGCCGAGAAGTCCGAGAAGCGCGAATAACTTCGCGCCGTCGAAGGCGCCCTGTGAAGAACACACGAGGAGGAGGAGGAGGACGAGGAGGAGGAGGAGGAGGAGGAGGAGGAATGGTGACCACACCGCCTGGTGAATCAGCGGGGATTCCGGCTCACCGCATGGCTCTGGGACTTGGGTCGTTCTCCGATGACGTCTCTCGGCCGACCGAAGCCTCCGAAATGCCCAAGACCGTTCGGTGACGGACCCGGTGGTGGTCTCTTGGGATTTCGTAGTCACCGCGCCGTTCGTTACCATAAGGTTTGGAGGCCCCAGAAAAGAGAGACGAGTTGGGCGGCGCGTAGTGGGGGAGGAGGAGGCGGAGGCGGAGGCGGAGGCGGAGGAGGAAGAGGGGGAAGGGGAGGGGGAGGGGGAGGGGGAGGATGGGGATGAGGGGGGGAGGAGGAGAGGAGGAGGAGGAGGAGGAGGAGGAGGAGGAGGAGGAGGAGGAGGACGAGGAGGAGGAGGATGAGGAGGAGGAGGAGGAGGAGGACGACGACGAGTTGGGCGGCGCGTAGTGGGGGAGCGCTGAGCCAGGGGGCGGGGGAGAGAGGTTTGCATCTCTCGGGCCCCAGCGGCCCCCTCTCGGGCCCTGCAGGGCGTCTTCATGGGGCCCTCAGGGGCCCCTTCTCTGCAACCCTCGCTGCCCCCCCCGGTCACCGCCCCCCCCCCCCATCACGCGACGCCCAGGACGAGGGGAGGCTGGGAGAGGCCGGGGGGGGGGGGACGTGAGGAAGGGGGGGGACTTCGGCCTTGAACCAACCGCTCCTGCATGTCTGTGGCTTCTGGACGGCCCTCGTCGCCACGGCCGGATCCCGGCCAGAAAGCGCCTCAGGACAGGTCTTCTTCCGACCGCGGCCGCGGCTGGAAGGGGGAAACGATCATCGCGGCCGCAGCTGCGCCGCGGCTGCGGCCGTGGCTGGGCCTGTGGCTGCGGCCGTGGCGCAGGACTGTACCTAAACGTTGTTTCCGTTTTGTTTGTCGTTGTACTCTCTCTCTCTCTCTCTCTCTCTCTCTTTCTATATATCTTTCCTGTACCTCACGGCCAAAACGAAAAACAACATACAGCCGAGGTCCAGCAAAACAGCGTTTAGGTCCAGCCCTGCCGTGGCTGAGACGGGGGAACTAGCGTGATCAAAGCGGTGGCTGTGGCTGTGGACCACCACCACCACCACCACCACCACCATAGTCAGAAGGGCGAAGGAACATCCCCGTGGTGGTGAGGCGTCGCTGTCTTTCGGCGTCCCGCTCGAGAAACCTCCAACCTCTAGCTCGCGGAAGCACCGTGGAACTCCTGGCTGTCGATGGCCCTGCTGGTGCTGGTTTGCGGCGCGTCTTCAAAGTTCGCATGGCTGCTCCACGCCTCGGACTCTTATCCATCTCCACTCGTGGGAGAAGGGCAACCGAGCATCTCGCAGAGCGATGGATGTGCATGCCTTCTTGCCCCCAGAGGGGGACACACACACAAACACACACACACACACACACGCACGCACGCACGCACACACGCGCACACACACACACACACACACGCACGCACGCACGCACGCACGCACGCACGCACGCACGCACGCACGCACGCACGCACGCACGCACGCACGCACGCACGCACGCACGCACGCACGCACGCACGCACGCACGCACGCACGCACGCACGCACGCACGCACGCACGCACGCACACACACACACACACACACACACACACACACACACACACACACACACACACACACACACACACACACACACACACGCGCACACACGCGCGCGCACACACACACACACACACACACACTGCACGCACGCACGCACGCACACACACACACACACCAGATGCATCGTTGAGACATCTTGCCAACTATCTTGGGAAACCCAGGGGCACATTGTTCGGCCGATCTTGGACCTCGCAAGCACGATGCACATAGAACCCACAAAGGTGTCCGTGAACACGAGGAAGCAGAACAACTCGCGTTGAGCACCTGCCTGCAGGCCAAGCTCTGGCTTGGCCTGTTCACTATGCCCGAATGCAAAGCTCTGCGGGACCCCCGGAGGCTTGCCTCCTGGTCGGTGGACATGCACATACGGCGCGACCAGATCACAAGGACGCGCGAGGAGGATGCAGTGCCCGTGGACGACCAGTTTGAAACCTATGGCCCGAGGTCGGGGAGGAGAACGAGGAGGAGGAGGAGGAAAAGGAGGAGGACGAGGAGGTGAAGGAGGTGAGGTAGGAGGAGGAGGAGGAGAAGGGAGAAGGAGGAGGAGGACGAGGAGGAGGAGGAGGAGGAAAAGGAGGAGGAGGAGGAGGAGAGGGAGCATGAGGGGAGGAGGAGGAGGAGGAGGAGGAGGAGGAGGAGGAAAGGCAAATATTGTTTTTTCCTAACCATCCTGTGGTTTTGGGTCCTCGCTTTGAATCAGCAGCGGTCCGCGTCTTCTCTCCTCCTTTCCTTCCGCTCCGTCCTCCTCCCACCCCTGCCTCTGTCCCTCCGCACGACACTTTCGTCGCACCCCTCACGCGTTCCGTGGCCCCATAGGGAGCTCAACCAAAGGTATCCATGGAAATGTTCGCCTGGCGTCACCGCGCCCATCTTCACACCCGTCACACGCTTCGTGGCCCCATAGGGAGCTCCACCGAAGGCTCCTGAGGGAGGGGATCCGCATGGCGCAACCGCGCCCAGCTCAGCACACCCCTCGCACGCTTCCTGCGCCCCCTCCCTTCGTTCCGCCTGCCTCGCTGCGATACTCGCAGCTGCAAGTGGCCGCACGGAGCCCACGTGGGGGTGACGGGCGGGCGGCTCACCCGGTAGGTGGTGCCGATCACCCTCCGCACCGTCCTGGCGCCGCGAGGGGCCGCGAGGGAGCGGGCAGCTTGTTGGGAGGCATCTGCTGGAACAACACAACCCTTCGGCGGCAACTCCTGGGAGCCTCCCGTGCCACCTTGCTGGCTCTTGTGAGTCGACGCTATCGGACGCGAGTCGACGTTCATCGACGCTGAGTCGACTCTAGTCGAAGCTGCATCGGCGCTACTCGCCGCTAAATCGGCGCTATCTCATCGACTACCAGACTACTTGACGCTGAGTACACTCGAAAGACTCTGAAGACGGACTTGCGATTGTATACAAGGCTCCCCTGATTTGCCACCGAGCAACCCTGAGATCCTGGCGCCACCATTCTTTCGCACCGGGCGTTTTCGCCTTGCTCCAGGCCCCAGGACCATCACATATCGATCTGGCTCGGAAAAATACCGCACCGAGATGGGATCTAGGTCTCCAGGCGTGATTTCTCGCGATGCTGCCTTTGTGCTCGCCAACGTGAAGGCGGCGGAAATACAACGAGGCCGCCTCCGCCAGCGAAGCCCGCTGGGAAGGCTTCGGGCTACGCACAGGCAGACCCCCCAGGAGATCCCGCTCCGCGCCCCAGGGGTGGGGTGTTGAGACCGCCCCCGATTAGTCGGGGGGCCGGTTGATGCTGCCCAGGGCCAACTTGCGGGGCTGCCTGTGCGCATAACGAAGAACTTACCACCTCGAAAGATTTTGGTGGCGACATCCGGACCCTACCCCCACCAACCATCGAGTTTCCTCAATCCACGGGAGGCGGGGGGAGGGCTCGGATTTAGCCTCGTGTTCGACGAATCCCGAACCCTGGACATCTGTCATGGACAGGGCACCGAAGGGCCGAGTGGACCCAGGCGGACGACGTCCAAGCACTCCCGAACGTACTCGGCAAAACGCACACCGAAGTGCCCGAGGCCATCCGATTCATTGAGGGGCATCGGTAGGGAAACTGGCGCAGGAGTGCATACATCGACCTGGAATGGGCAATACATCGCCGATAGATCGGCGACAGGCCCTTGATAGCGAATCCGTAACTTCCCAGGCGGGTTGGGGCTATCGGGCCCCTTCTCAGCGATCAATGGGCGATTAGGGGTCGATGCATCCTCTCCAATGCCTCCCCCCCCATCTCCCAGACCCCCGGCGTCCTGATTTTTACACAGCGTCGGCCCCGAGAAGTCCAGTCCCCATCCCTGGGACCTGTTTTTCATCCTGAGCCGTTCTTGCTGACGGCCCCGAAGCCCCGAAAGCGTCCCCGGAGGCCGAAGAGAGCGGAAAACTTCCCGCCGTGTTTTTTCGTTGTTTTCACATCGCGAGGAGGTCGGGGATCGCTGCTCCTGGGTCATGCTCTCCTCTGCCCTCCGACCTCTGCCCAGGAGGGCTAAGAGCTAGCACCAGGCTGTCGACTTCCTCATTTCCGTCGTGGCTCGAGGCAGCCCAGCTAGATTTATGGGTCTGGAGTGCTCTTCTTTTTGCCAGCCTGGAACATGTCCCTATCCCTATGCTGGGCACCTCCTCACCACGATGCCAATCTGAAGTAATTCCCTTCCTTTTGGAGGGCAAATCCCTGAGATTGCCATCGCCTTTTGGCGTGTCAATCTCAGGGATAGGGTACGTTCGAGGCTGGTAATCTTTAGCCCTCTGGCAGGTCCGGCTGCCCCCCCCCCCACCCCGGGGCAGGAGAGCCCAGAATCGAATCGATAAGTCGGGTCGGCGATCGAAATAGATCGGATCGGAGGAAATCGGCAGCCGAGTCGAGAAAAGTCGAATCGACGGAAATCGGCAGGCTGGTAGGCCTCCAGTAAGGACGGTAAGGAATCGGCGCCCAAATTGGAATCCTAAGTCGAATCAAATCGGAATCGAAGGCCATCGAAATCGGATCGAATCGATTCGGAGGAATCGAAATGAGCCCTGCCGGGGTCCTGACGGGCACGGAGCTCGCGCGCGCGCCGTCCGGGCCGAGGGGCGGCGTCCGGACGGCGGCGGCGGCGCCGAGCACCGCCGCCGCCACGGCCGCCGC